CCTCCACCACCTGCTGACCTTGCCCTCCACCACCTGCTGACCTTGCCTTCCACCACCTGCTGACCTTACCCTCCACCACCTGCTGGACTTGCCCTCCACCACCTGCTGGCCTTGCCCTCCACCACCTGCTGACCTTGCCCTTCACCACCCGCTGACCTTGCTGAGCTGTCTCCCTGAACGTTTTCTGCATAATCACTGGCTGGTCTTCAGGGATGGACCACCTCTGGAAATGGCTTTCTTCCAGAGCCATTGCCCTGGGGGTGCTGAGAAGTCCCGAGGCCCTTCTAGAGCACCTCATCCCCATGCCTTTGCCAAGATGACTCTCTCTCTTCTGTGGGGACTGCCGCAGTCTCTGGCAGCTGCCTTTGCAGTGACCTTGCTCCGGGCTCCAGCACTCCAGGGCTTCTCTTCTTAACTTGACCTCGAAGGACTAAAATCTTTGCATGGGGAATAGTGGCGTCAGGTGAACCTGGATGTGAATACCAGTGTTGCCAGTCTCTTTTGTTTGTTTTTGTGGATAGGATCTCTCTCTGTCACCCAGGTTGGAGTGAAGTGGCAAGATCATGGCTCACTGCCGCCTCCACCTCCTTGGCTCAAGGGATCCTCCCAACCCAGACTCTGCAGCCGCTGGGACCACAGGCGTGCACCACCATGCCTGGCTAATTGTGTCATCATTCGCTAGCAGTGTGACCTTGTGTAGGTCACTACCCCTCTCTGATTTCCTCAGGAAAAGAGAATAATGATAAAAAAAATCAAAATTAATTAACACTACTATCTTATTTTCAATGTGTCAGGCATTATTCCAAGTACTTTATATAAATGACCTCATTCAATCATTGTAATAACCATATGAAATAATTATTATTGTTTAGTTCCTATGTGATGTGTAAACTGAGACCACACACGTAGTTAGTAGCAGAGCTGGGATCCAGGAGGGGCTGTCTCTGCAGCTGCCTTTCACATTTATGTTATGCTGTGTCTCAGGAATGCACATGGAGTCTAAAAAATAATGTCTGCTTCACTGCATAAAGAAAAAATGTGATGATGCTTGTGTGTGCCCAGCTTTGAGCTTGGCACATAATAGATGCTCATGAAATCTTATTTGCTTTTTCCTCCCTCGGTCTCTTTCCTTCTTCTCCCCTAGGTGAGCACACAAGCGGGGTTGCAACAAGGAACTGGCAACTGTGTCTGAGGAAGGCTGGTGAGTAGCATGGACAGGTATCCCTCATTCTCTCCACTCCTTCTGCATCCAGAAGAGCTGACACCCCAGCTCATGAGTACGTGTGGGTCCAGTTTCCCCTGGAGCTGACATATAACTCTGACTGTTTCCCAAGACAAGAGAGTAGGAGGGTATAGCAATTGCTCATTAGAGGCGGTCAATGAGCCTGGAGGCTCACAGGATTCCTCCCACCTGCTCTGGGGAGATTGTCTGCCTATATTTGTGTTTATTTTCTGATGGAAATACTAGAGTCAGAGCTTGTCTGGCCTGGCTTCTGGGCCAATGGGGAGCTGATAAGGAACGGAACCATCCGTTGGGATGTGCTGCGTGGGTTCCTATTGTCTTACACACCATGCAGTTAACCAAGGCCTCAGGTAGAAGTCATACTTTCCTGACCTCCTTCTCGTGGTTTCTCAAGTCTTCGGTCAGCTCAACCCCAAAGGGCAGCCAGTTAGAGTTCACCACAGACAGATTAAACCCTGCTGGACCTCTGGGGAAGTCTCAAGAACCAGTTTGACCACAAAACCGAGAAGCAGGTCTGCTGGGGCCTCTCTGGATGAAGTGGTCATGGTGGCTGTCAGACGAAGATCCGAATTAGTCACGAACGGAACAGGAGCCAGGATGGGGGTGGAAATGAGGCCAGCTCTCTTCTGCTCCAGGGCTTAGGATCCAGCTGGGGTGGAAGCAGAGGCTGTGTTGCAATTTCACTGCAAATCAACCGGGTCATCTCCGTGGATGACACCGTGCAGAGCTTCCAACCCTTGATTCTTTTGTAGATGGGGAGATGGTATCTCCCAACTGCCTTTAGCATCTGGCTGTGAGATGAGGTTGGGGGAAGATGGAATGATATGCCTTCCTGGCAGAGCCGCTGGCTCCGGAGGCCTGGGGTGGAGGGAACAGGGTGGAGTCCATGTTTGAACAAGTTGAGAGCAATTGCTGGAGGAGCCCTGGGCAGAAGTTCCCTCTCCAGATGAGACTTGGCCCCTACATTTGTTCTCAGGGAAGTGAAACACTTACTGTCTCCTCCATTTGGACTGTTGCTGGCTGTGACAGACAGTAGCCAATTCATTGGCTTGGGGCTGTCCCCTCCCACCTGGGATATTCAGTGCCCTGAAAGGCGGTGAGGTGCGGTGGGAAGAACATGGGCTCTGGAATCTAACTCGAAATTAAATCTCAGTTCTGCCCTGAAGCACTGGGTAACCTTGGTAAGTCACTTCACCTCTCTGGACCCCATTTTCCTCATCTCTGAAATGGAGGCAGTAACAGCTTCCAGGGAGGGTGGTTAGGAGAATTAACAGTGACAATGCGGGTAAAGGAAGAGCATGCGGCAGGAACTCAGTAGAGGTCAGGCACGTTTCTCCCTCCCCTTAGAACACACCCTGTCCTTCAGCCACTGCCAGGCTCATCTTTACCATCTTGGCGTCTGCTGAAAGGCCTCGTTGACTGGCTATACCCACCTACAGGAGTGGCCAGCAAGGTTTTCTGCAAGGGGCCAGAGAATAAATACTACAGGCTTTGCAGGCCATATGGTCTCTGCCACAGCTACTCATCTCTGCTATGGTTGCTCAAAAACAGCCGTAGACGATACCAAATGAATAAGCATGGCTCTGTTCCAATAAAACTTTATTTATAAAAATAGGCAGTGGGCCAGAGTTGGCCCTCAGGCTGTAGTTGCCAATCCCTGGCCTTGCGTTTCAAGTCCAAAACCTCTGCTTTTCTCTCAAGGGATTTCCCTAGCCTGGTTTCACCTTCTTCTTCCAATCTGGTTTATGATTGCTCCCTTTAGTGTTCCCCAGTATGACCCAACAGGACTCCTTTTTGTCCTTGGCTCAGGAAGTGTTTAGCCTCCACAGCTCTGCCCATGCCTTCCTCCCTGCTTAGAACGCCATCCCATTTCCTCTTCACCCTGCTAAATTCCGTCCCCAGGGAACCTCCTGGGCTGCCCTGTAAAATACAGGGCTCAGACCAAGGTCTCTTGATTCAGCACTGGACAAGCCCATCATCCTTCAAGGCTGTGCTCTGGCCAGCTGTTCATAGTGATTTCTCCCTTTGAGGACTCCTGTGGCCCCTGCTATTGATGCCAGGGTGGCCCTCCCAGAGATCGCTGGATTGAATTGGTGCCTAAGTCTCAACGAGGAGCCCTGGAGGCTCAGTCCTCAACTTTTCTTTTCTTTATTTTTATTTTTAAGATGGAGTATCTGCCGCCCAGGCTGAAGTCCAGTGGCACAATCTTAGCTCACTGCAGCCTCTGCCTCCTAGGTTCGAGCAATTCACCTGCCTTAGCCTCCAGAGCAGCTGGGATTAAGGCACGTGCCACTAAGCCCAACTAATTTTTGTATTTTTAGTAGAGATTGGGTTTCACCATGTTGGCCAGGCTGGTTTTGAACTTGTGACCTCAGGTCATCTGCCAGCCTTGGCCTCCCAAAATTCTGGGATTACAGGCGTGAGCCACCTCGTCTGGCCAGTCCTCAACTTTTCTATTAATACATGCAACTCACAACAACCTGCACTTTCATCCTGCCTGGAATCTTTCTGTTTTCCTGCATATGTGGATTTGGAAAGTCTCTCCCCAGCCATTATCCCTCTGAATATGGCCTCTTTCCCACTGTCTTTTTACTTCTTTGAGGGGCACAGATTAATCATAGCTTAGATCATTCTCATATTTTCCTTGTCTTTTAACTCTCTATTAACTTTTCCATTGTTTGGCTGTCCTGGTGCATTTGTGGTAATTTCTTCATATCTCTCTTCTAATTCGTCAATTCTTTCTTTATCTGTGTCAAGCACATCCATTTAACTTTTAATTTCAAAGATTTTTTTTTTTTCATGTTCAGAAGTTCTACTTGATCCTTCATAAACATCTGCCTGTGTGGTTTGTAGTCTCTTATTTCTTGATTCTTTGTTTCCTATCCAACTTTTTTAAAGCATTGCATACCTTGTTATTTTACAACCTGTCTGATTATTGTATTATCTGAAGTCTCTGACAATCTGTTGCTTATCGTCTCTGCTGACTCTTGCTCATGGTGACTCATTGTTTGGTCTTGAACTCCTGACCTCGTGATGGCCCGCCTCGGCCTCCGAAAGTGCTGGGGTTACATGTTGTTTGTTATTCTCTTTGGTAAATCAGACAGAAGGCTTCCCTCCAGAGAAGGTTTGCATTTGCTCCTGCCAGCCACTAGGGGGCACCCGCAACCCAGGCCGCCACCACGTGGGCAGCGTCAACTCAAAGCCCCTTCAGGGCAGAATGACGATGTGAAATTTTGCAAAATTTTGCGCATTCGACCCTGGTGCCCTGGAGCTGATTTTCATACGCTGACTTTGGATTTCCCCATATGAACTCACAAATGAAGATCTGAGACTGTGCACGGTCACTGGCCACGGCTGGTGGGCCGGGAGCCGGGGCCTCAGCGCCGCGGGTGTGGGTGTGTGGGTGTGTGGGTGTGTGCGTGTGCGTGTGTGCGTGTGACTATGTCTTGGTGTGCCTCCTGCATCAGTTCCTGGAAGTGAGACCAACACAGAAAGAGGACAAATGCTGGTGATGGGAACTTTCCTCGAATACTCAAGCCAGGCCCCCTGTGGAAACAGGCGGATTCCACCCACCTGGCTGGCAGGGAAGTGCAGATGACCTCTGACCTTGTCTTCGCTCCTCCTCTTCTATTTTGGAGTCCAGGAGTGCATGTCGAGCCACATACCTTTTCCCATGCTTCTCGTATGTGCAAAACACACCTCAGGGTCGAGCCACATACCTTTTCCCATGCTTCTTGTATGTGCAAAACACACCTCAGGTACCTGGCACCCAGGTGTTTTTAATTCAAGGACTCACCAAACCAGCCCAGTGGGGTTCTGTGAATCCAGTTAGAAGCAGCCAGAGGTGGCCGACGGCAGAGCGTGTAGCTATCCCCACAAAAGGCCATTTACCAGGCCACCAAAAGCCACGTTTTGCACTCAGCACACACTGACCCTGCTGTGGTGTCCTTTCCCAAGGTGCTGTCTTATCCAGCCCATGCCCTCAGATAGCTTTCCTATTCGTAATACAGTTGGTCCAAAGATGGAAATCACCCCATGTGACTAAGGCCAGGCCTCCCAGACAGCATCGCCCTGATCCTTTAACTTGGGTTCATCCGCTGTGTGCTCAGCTATGACAGGACAGGCTGAAATGAAAGAGCATTATGTCATCAGAAATGGCTTTTAAAAGGAAAGGCTTCACGAGGGGTCTTGCCCTTATGCACAATTCCAAGATCCCAAGAGCTCTTCAAAACAAAAGTTTATTTTGTCAGTTTGGCACAAACTCACGTGGCAGCAGAACCGGAGCTGATGTGACCTGTGACTATTTGTAGTGTTTACATTCAGTAGAAATATGTGTGCATTTTGCTGTGGAAATGTTGTATGTGGATGGTAAGGTGCTGACCCAGAATGCTAAGAGTATTGTGTAAATATAGATTTTGCACAGCGGTACCTACTAATGTCATATTTCTGATTTTCAGCACACGCCAGTTTCCAGGGTTCTGGATAAGGGGTTAACCCACGTTATTTACTAACTTTCAGGTAAAAGATCTCCTGTCCCTGCCACACACATAGGAATACATTTGAATGGGCAGGGCATGGTGGCTCGTGCCTGTAATCCTAGCACTTTGGGAGTCCCAAACGGGAGGATCGCTTGATCCACGGGGTCAAGGCTGCAGTGAGCCATGATTGCACCATTGCTCTCCAAGCCTAGGTAACATGCACTTAAATGTTGGTCAAATGTCTTCAAGTGCATGTTGGATGACGGCAGGGGGTATATGCGAAGGATTCATATCTCACGACCATTGTGAGGTAAATGTACAGGGATTTGAATGAGACCCACTTCTTTGGGTCCCTTTCCCCATCTCATAGTGCTGGACATCTAGTAAGGGCTACACATATGTTAAATGATTCCCTAACAAATCCTTAGCATTAGAAACTGCTGAAAACCCTTTTTGTTTGTTTGTAAAATTACACCAAGAATACAGGAACACTCTTTTTTTTTTTTTTTCTATTTTTTTGTTTTTTGAGACTGAGTCTCCCTCTGTCACCCAGGTAGAGTACAGTGGTGCAATCTCTGCTCAATGTAGCCTTGACCTCTTAGACTTAAACAATCCTCCCACTTCAGCCTCTTGAGTAGCTGAGACTACAGCTGGGAGACTCCACTCCCAGCTAATTTTTAAATTTTTTGTAGAGATGGGGTCTTGCCAACTTGCCCAGGCTGGTCTCGAACTCCTGCTTCAGCCTCCCAAAGTGCTGGGATTACAGACGTGAGCCACTGTGCCCAGCTGGAACACTCTGAGTGTATTAAACTGGCGCAAATGTAACTGAGGTTTTTGCCATTAAAAGTAGTGGCAAAAACTGCAATTACATTTGCATCAACTTAATAAAAGCAATACTAAAAATATACAATACAATATGAGAAACTTCTCCTTTACCTAACACTCTCAAGTCCCCCCCCCCCAAAGTTGTTCTTTTAAATTGGTGAGTAGTATTTCATGGTACAGACAATCCATGTACTGATTATTGATTCTCTTATTGATGGACATATCAGTTGTTTTCAGTTTGGGGCTATTATGCAGCATTGATAACCCTATCAACACTTAAGGTCCATTTTTCCCGCGTACTCTCTGAACATGTATGTAGGTGTGTATGTGGTTGTATACACTTAGATTTTATAATAATATAAATGGGATTGTGCTATACTATACATGATTCTGCATTTTGCTTTTGTTCACTTAGTTATAAGTCCTTTTATATTGGTGCATATAGATCTGCTTCACCCTACGGCACAGAAATACCATAGTTTAAATAAACTCTTCTTTTGTCTAGGTTTCTAGAAGTCAGATTGCGGTGTCAAAAGACGAGCAGTTTTAAATTTTGATAGGCACTGCCAAATTGCCTTTCAATAACTTCCACCAATAGACGGTACACGAAAGTTATTGTTTCTCTGATTTCTTGCCAGCATTTGATATTATTAATCTTTTTAACTTTTGCCAACCTGACAGATAAAAATAAAATCTGAATGTTTGAGCATGCATTTCCAAGCTTACTTGAGAAGCTGAACATCTTTCTTCATCTGTTTGTTGGACATGCATGTTTCATCATTAATGAGTTGTTTGTTCATAGCCTTTCACATTTTTCGAGGATACTTATTGTCCTCTTCTTATTGATATTTTAGGAGCTCTTTATATATGTTCTTTTAATTTATTGTCTTTTTAATTGAGATGTACTTTTCACACAGTAAAATATACAGGTCTTAAGTGTGGAGTCTGAAGAGCTCTGACAGATGTATAAGTTTGTGTAATCATCACCCACATCAAGACATAAAACATCGCTATCGCTCCTGAAAGTTCCCTCTGCTCCTTTGCAGTCAATACCCAAGAGCAACCATTATTCTGATTTCTATCAATTACATTTGTTTCTCCCTGTACATCGTACAATGGAGTCATACAGGTAAACTCTTCATGTCTGGCTTCTTTTGTTCCACATATATTTTTCTGAGATTCGTGTGTCTTCAGTTGGTTCTTTTTAATTGCTGAGTAATATTTCGTTGTATAGACAATCCATGTGCTGGTTATTCATTTTCTTATTGATGGACACATCAGTTGCTTTCAGTTTGGGGCTATTATGACTAAAGCTTCTGAACGTTTTTACACAAGTCTCTGTGTAAACATGTGTTCTCATTCTCTTGGGTACATACCTAGGAGCTGAATAACTGGGTCACAGGTATATGTTTAAGTTTTATTAGAAACTGCCAACCAGTTTTTCAAAGTGATTGCACCTGATGTGTTTTAAATATGTTGCCAACGTTTTCACCTTGTCTATTTCTTGTGTTTTAACTTTGACTACAGTGTCTTTTATCACAGAGACCTTTTACATTTTTATGAAGTCATTGCTTTTCTTTTCTTGTTTTATTTTTTATAAAGTGAAAACAAATTTATTAAGAAAGCAAAGGAATGGCCACTCCATAGTCAGAGCAGCCAAAGTTGCTTTTTACTTGTGGATCCTGGGTTCATGTTTTGTACAGGAGGGTTTAACGTTTTGAAAAAATATTTAAAAATATTTTTCTAGTTTGTTTTGCATATTTTGCTCCTTGTTCTAGAATTTGCCTTTTTGTGTAATGTCAGAAATAGCTTAATCATAGACTGAACCATACAAGGCAAGTGTTGTCATTCCATTTCACACATGGGGAAACTGGGACTCAGAGGCTGTGTGACTACCTCAAGTCACACAAGCAGGACGTAGAGGTAAGATTCAAAAACATCTTTGTCTCATTTAAAATTATTTTCTCTTCCAGGACTGCAGATTCCAATCTATATCCGTAACATGAATTCTGTAAGAAAGAAGAGGCAACAAGAGTATGTATTTATGTACGTACTCACACGAATAACACACATGTCAAGGAATACAGGAAGAATAAACCGGAAACTAATGGAGGAGGATGGGAGGAAATTGGCATGGGAAAGACACGTCTCCAAATAGGATTTTAAATATAGTTTTGTATTTCGAATCATTTGTACATAGTTTGTACATGATTTACATGTTCAAAAAATGAAATCAAACTAAATTTAAAAAATAGGAAAAAGAAGAAACCCTCCCTAAGTTGTGCATGAAGAGAAACAAATAAACCTAGTTGTAAATTAGAGATCTTAACCACAGAGCAAAAAAAAAAAAAAAACCCAAGCAAACAAATAAAAAAACCAACACCCCCCCCACCACACACACGACCAAACACCCATTTAAATAATTTTGAAAAAATTACCCTGACTATACATCTGTGGTGGAATATATTTTAAGGACAGATAAAACTACAATGGTGTGTTAAGCTTTACCTAGTAGGTTTATGGTAAATAGTAATGATAATATGGTAATTTTGAAGGCAGTTTATGTATATTAAAAAATAAAGAAAGTAGTAAATAAGAGTATGTTAGAAAACAAGACTCTCTATGAAAAAGAGACTCGAGTATTATGTTTTTAAGAGAATGAGTTTAAAAAAAAAATCCACCCTGGGTGTTAAATTTGAACCGATTATATAATTCTGAGCTCATTTTATTTTTCTTAGCTCTGTCCACTGAAAAAGCCTTGATGAAATAACAACCCAGGAGCAGTGAGACCACCTGGCACCCAGGTCTGGATTTCTAAACACTGTTACCCACCAAGAGGAACTAAAATTTTCTGCAGAAATGGCTGACTCCATATCCATGGAAATGAAGCTCCAAGTGAAGCCCAGGATGTCTTACAGTCCCAAGAAGGAGGGAGAGGCTTAAAAACTCCTGGGGTCACATGGAAAGGATGCGAAACTGACTTGAGGGATCCACGTGGCGATGTCTGGGACTACTGAGCATCAATAAGAATGACTGTAGTTAATGAAAATACATTAAACAAATAGAAAATTCGTGAGTTCATTGTGTGTGAGAGAGAGAGACAGAGAGGAGGGAAGTGGGCAGGAGGAAAGCTCTTTTTTGCAAAAGGATGCCACCTGATACATGTAGAAGGAATGAGACAGAAAGCCACCATTTTGCAACTTCCAATGTAACTCTCGATTCAGGTAGAATCATCAGTAGATGCTAAACACCGCTGGGTGAAGGGTGATTAGGGAAGAGGATATTTGTGCAGCTGCAAAGAAACTTCACCCAGATGACAGTACAAAGGGGGAAATGTACCATTATAACAAGGAGAGGCGATGGTCACGCGTTCAGACACATGCTCAGATTTCATATCCTTTGTTGGATGCTCAAGCTGACATCTCAGGCCTCCTGGTGTAAAAGGATGAGAAGACATCACCAATGGAGTATTTTTGCCAAAGTGTTCAGCCTGATGTAATGAAGGCTTTAGTCTCGACTTTCAGATCGCAGGATTTACAGAGTATGGTGGGACAGGTTTAATGACAACAAGAAAAAGTAATGGAATAGGACCTGTAATCCCAGCACTTTGGGAGGACGAAGCGGATGGATCACTTCAGATCAGGAGGTCAAGAACAGCCTGACCAACATGGTGAAACCCCGTCTCTACCAAAAATACAAAAATTAGCTGGGTGAGGTGGCGCACACCTATAATCCAAGCTACTTGGGAGGCTGAGGCAGTGAGGCTGAAATCGGGAGGCGGAGGTTGCAGTGAGCCGAGATTGCGCCACTGCACTCCATCCTAGGCAACAGGAGCGAAACTCTGTCTCAAAAAAACAAACAAACAAACAATAAAACAAAACAGTTAACCAAGCAAGCAACCAACCAAAAAACCTATGAAAGACACATTTGGGAGAATAGGGAAATGTGAATATGGAGCAGAGGCAGATAGTATACAGGATTATGGTTGATGCAGTCACGTGCGAGAATGGGTCCATGGGTATGCAGGGGAACATTCTTCCATTCTAGAGAGGAGGAAATAGTAAATAGGAGCATATTAGGAAACGAGTTTGTTTGAAAAACAGACTCAAGGAACTGAGGATGAAGCCTTGTGTGGTTGTAACCTATCTTCAAACGGTTCAGCAACACAAGTGTTCGTGGAACAAAATAAACGCAGCATGACGACATATTAAAATTGTTGAACAGGTCCTGGGCTATGTTCAGGCCAACGAGGTGCCTCAGCCATGGTTTTGCGGAGTCCACCTCACTCCTTGCAGACCCCAGGAGTGACCGCCTCCTTCCCTGTGGTGCTGGAGGCATTTTACTGGTCTCACCCTAGTCCTGGCCCCGTGGCTGAATCTGGTAGTGAGAAAATGAGTGCTCATTACATTATTCTTTGAACTCTTCTGCATGTTTAAAATGATCCAAATGTCCATCAGTGAATGAATGGATAGACAAATGTGATAGATCCATATGACAGGCTGTGATCCACTCACGAAAACGGATGAGATACTGATGCATGCTACAAGCAGATGAACATTGGAAACATCACGCTGAGTGAGGGAAGCTGCTCACAAAGGACCACATATTGTATGATTTCTTTTGTAGGATATAACCAGAATAAAAGAGAGGAAGGAAGGGAAGAAGGAAAGGAGAGAAGGAAGAAAGAGAGGGAGGGAGGGAAGAGAGAAAGAAAGAAAGAAAGAAAGAAAGAAAGAAAGAAAGAAAGAAAGAAAGGAAGGAAGGAAGGAAGGAAGGAAGGAAGGAAGGAAGGAAGAAAAGAAAGGAAAAGAAGGAAAAAGGGGGAGAGAAGAGGGGAGAGGAGTGGGGGGGCAGAGGAAGAGAAGAAGGGAGAGGAGGGGAGGGGAGGAAAAGAGTGGAGGGGAGGGGAGGGGAGGGGAGGGGAGCAGCAAGCCCAGACAGACAGAAAGCAGATTAGAGGTTATCGGGGTTTTGGGAGAGGGAGAGGGAATGGAGAGTGATTCCTTAGCAGGTATGAGATATTTTTATGGGGCGATAAAAACGTTTAGAAACTAGAGAGAGCTGGTGGTCACACAACATTTGGAATGCACTAAATGCCACTGAATTGCACACTTTAAAATGGTTAATTGTATGTTATATGAATGTCATCTCAATTTTAAAAAAATGATCTGAGTAAAAAGTTCAGGAACAAAATGGTCAGATGTACGGTATAAAAACGATGCCTTTTCACTTTGGGAGGCCGAGGTGGGTGGATCACTTGAGGCCAGGAGTTGGAGACCAGCCTGGCCAACACAAAACCCTGTCTCCACCGTAAATGCAAAAATTAGCCGTCGGTAGCAGCATGAACCTGTAGTCCTAGCTACTCAGGAGGCTGAGGCAGGAGGATCTCTTGAGTCCAGGAGACGGAGTTGCTGAGATCACGCCACTGCACTCCAGCCTGGGTGACAGAGCAAGACACTATCTCAAAAAGAAAAAGAAAAAGAAAAAGAAAAGATGCCTTTTTAAGCCAGGCACAGGGGATCACACCTATAATCTCAGCCCTTTGAGAGGCTGAGGCAAGAGGATCCCTTGAGTCCGGGAGTTCCGATACCAGCCTGGGCAGTATAGGGAGACCCCATCTCTGTAAAAAGTAACAAAGAAAAATTAGCCAGACATAGGACTGTGCATACCCATAGTCCCAGCTGAGGAGACCAAGATTGGGAGGATTGCTTGAGCCTGGGAGGTCGAGGCTGCAGTGAGCCATGATCGCACCACCACACTCCAGCCTGGGCCGCAGAGTGAGCCCTTGCCTCAAAACAAAATAAAACAAAACAGAAAAACAGGCCTTTTCAAAAGGGATGAAAATGGCACATGCATGCAAAGGAAGACCCTTCAGAATTCCGGCCTGCGGAAAGGTAGGAAAGCAGTGACACAGGGTCCCGTGATGTGGCCGAGCACTGGCTGCCGGTGACCCTGGGACAGTCACTTCCCCTCTGTAGAGCCTGTTTCTCCACGCTCTAGCTTCCCCCAGCTGCGCCTGCTCCAAGCTTTTGATCTCCCACCAGGGCCTCAGCCAGAGGCTGCGCACCTGCAGCTTGCCTTCGCTCCCACCTCGCAGAGCACAGGTGCCCAGGGAGGGCGGAGCTTCAGGGAAATGTTCTCCTGTTCTGGGAACTCACTCGCAGGCACAGTTTCCTGACCTGACCTCAGGAGCCGCTTCCTGGTGGGTGACGCAGTGGTGCAAGTGTCCCACAGGTGATGTGGATTTGGTCAGGAGGTCCTCTGAGGGTTCTGGCGTGGGCGGGCCCCTCCACCCTGCTCTTTCCGGGGCTTGGGGACCAAGGCACTTTCAGCTCCAGAACAAAGGAGGAGAGCCACACGCTTGTGATTGGCGTGGGGTAAAAGTAACAAAAGAGCCGCTGAGCACTTACTCCACGCCAGTGGGTGGCTGTGTTACACGCTACGCTGGTCCCTCATGCAGCTCTTCTAATGGCCCTCGGATATGGGACGGTCACTGGGTCTCATCACCAAGAGGAGGTGGACGGCCAGGCAGGGTGAGTTCATTGCTCAAGGCACACCCAGCTGGTCAGCAGCAGGGCTGGATTCAAACCCGGATGTCTGGTCCTGGGGCCTGAGCTGTCCCTGAGGGAGACCCTGAATCTACCCGTACAGGAAGAGGACTGTGGCCTGTTGAGCCCTGCTGTGCAGCGCACCCTCTAAGCTCAGAATTGAAACGCCCCACTTACATGCCGACCAATGGCGCCAGGCAGCAGGCATTCTGGTATCACCTCCGTTTACAGGACCGGGACCGGGGGGCTTGGAGAAGTTCATTTGCCAGACATCACTCAGTGGGGACTCAAGCCAGCTCTGCCTGCAGCCCCATTGCTGACCTGTCTTTATAGGGGACCTCCCCTGTCATTTGCTTCTCTGAGGAGCATTTCTCTTCCTTTTCTGGAATGCGAAGAGCAGGAAGGACTGTTTCTGTCGGGCAGAGGCCTGGCTGTGTCTTGGCAGCATGAACAGCAGCCTCTCCCAGCAAACCGGGCAAGGACTTCAGGATCCCTGGCTGCCACTGGCATCTCCTCCTTCTGGAGCAGCAGCCTGGGTTTGATGCTCCCTGGAGGAAGGAGTGTGAATAGTGGAGGAGCTGGAAGTTTCCAGAAGGGAGGACACCTGAGACAGTGTGACTGCCCACAAGCCAGGGGCACAAATAGTTCTCTGAGGGAGGACAGGGAAAGAACACAGATGTGGACAGAATTCTGGGGACAGTCACCAGCGCTCCCTCATGCTTTGAGGTCCCTTGAGGCTGGAGAATGGGGACAGGAAGTCTTGGTCTTGTTTTTGAGTATCTCTTGTGTACATGTTGGGCTGTGTCCCCTGAGAAGCCACAGAGTGGGGGAGCTGGCTCTGTCTGTGTGTTCAGCAGTGGATCCAGCACAGAAGATGCCCAGGCTTCCAGATACCCTTGGCTGCTCCAGCTTCCCAGGCGCGAACCCCCTCTTTCCTCCAGTGCTCAGAACCAGACACAGCCAAGCTGGCTAGCTCCGGTTTACACCTGTTCCTGTCAGCCTTGTGCACCTCCTGGCCCCTGCCCGTTCACTCTGGCTAGTGGCTGGCATTGCTCTGGTTGGCTGATGCCTGTGTGACTGAGGTGAAGGATCTCCCTGGGGTTGGGCACTGATGTGACCCCAGTCCTTAACAGGAAGGGCATTTAGTGGGGAGATGGAGGGTCTGGGGGATTTCCAGGGAGCACTGGCTGAGGCCTGTGTGGGGAGTTGCTGCAGCTGACCTGGGGCCAATCATCCCACCTTCCATCTCTGGGTAGAGCAGGCTGGGCTTGCCAAGGGGAAGGGTCTGTCATTCTTGGTGTATTTCTGAGGAGAAAGTTGGGCTCCCATGACCCCCTCTAGGTATGGGGTCCAATCCGCTTCACAGGGGTCAAGTACTTACCAGAGATCCAAGGTATGAGACTCCAAGGGTGGACAAGGAGAAGTTCTTGGCCAGGGCCTCTGATGTGAGAGGCAAAGCAGAGGCTTTATAGGGGGACTCAGGCCTCCAGCACCGGAGGCAGTACAGGTCCTCAGGCTACCTC